AATCGATAAACTAAATTGCTGTGTCAAATCGATATTATCGATTTTTTATGATTTTAACGATTTATTACGGAAGTCCGCCATTGTTGTTGTCAGTTTTGGCATAAGTTACTAGAAAGTACAGTTGAGAAAACACATCCATGAGTAACAAATGTTCGACAAACATGAAAGTGAGAAATGTGGAAACTATCACACACGCATGCAAGTTTGTTTCTAAAACCCATTATTTTGTACATAATAACAAGTTTAGGTTTAGTTTAATTACATTCAGTCCTGGCAAGAAGGTATCACGAGAAATACAACCTTTGAGATAAAGAGTTCCTAGCCTGAATTTCAGACATGCCGCCTTCGATTCGGATACCCTGCCAGCAGAGTCGCTTCGATCTTTCCTAGATAATAGGAAAGATCGAAGCGACTCTGCTAGCAGGGTACGATTTGGGGGGATTTCTGAAATTCAGGTTAAAAGATCTCCCTAGAAAGATTTTCATTGTTTTCTGTTAACAATCTGTTAACAATCGATCACTTCATTGCGGACGATTTTTATCGATTTCGATTTTTGTCTATTGATTACTCCAGTATCTAATACTTCATTGACGTTGTTTTTGAAAGGGTGGCAGATCTAAATTATGACAAATTGGGCGCTTACAAACCTGACCAATATAAGCCACCAGAAGATTTTAAACCTGGTCTTAAAGAAAAAAAAAATAATATTTATATTTTAAAGATTTTTTGAAATAGTGATAATCGCTTGATCCTTCGACTCCCAATTGCAGCTCAATTGTCAATACATTTACTGTTTGCATTAATTTAGTTTTCATTTATTAAAGAACAGATTATCTTCCGATATAAATCGATTAAATCTGTAAAAATCACTTTGAGATAAATCGATGAACAAAACGAGTGTGTGATCGACTTCTACCGATTGATCGATACAATCGATGTCAATCAAATCAGATTTACCGATTTTCATCGATTTATCGATTGATAAATCGATAACAATTTTTAACGATTGACTTCTCTGGGAACTAATGCGCTCTTCCTGATTATCCTCAGTGACATCATTTCGTCTACTAACTAAATTAGTTGCCTGCCGACTTACTGTTTACATGAAGATTGAACTCGTCACTAGCAAATTCTTGGTTTTTCCACGCCGTACAATTGTATTTTCCAGCGTCATGTCTGCTTATGTTTAAAAGCGACATTCTATCGCTCTCCAGTGAATTGACGTCGTTTTGAATTCCGATTGGATTGTTATCTTTATACCAGTTGATGGCGTCAGCGGAGCAATTACATTGTATTAGACAGATCAGGGTGACATTTTCTCCTGGATTGTAACTTGTATTCAGTGGAACAGCCTGTATCTTTGCAGACAAAGCGCTTGTTGGAGTGAATCCTGCAACAAAAATGATATGATATTGAATAGAATACCGTATATTTTCGTCAACAAAAGGGATCTAGTCCGACATTTTAACGTTTAATTTGGTCCTTAAATCACCTTTCCATCGTAGAAAAAAAAAAGAAAAAAAAAAGAAAGAAAGAAATATTGAATAAAAATAATAATAACAACGACAGCCAGGCAAAATGATGTGCTAAACAACAAATCACTGATGTTTATTGGCCCGCTTTGCACGTGCCGAGATTAATTAATTAATAGAGCCCCGGCAGCCATGTATCAGTTGTATGGGAAAGAGAAAACCTTTTAATTACAATGATTCAGTTTGTCTCTGTTGTCACCTTTCTGCACTCATCCATTTTCATACAAATAAAGTTGTTATTGAATAAATCAAAATGAAATAAAAATTTTGATATTGTAAGCACTGATGACTGCACTGTCCCTTTAAAGATAAAGATGGCGCTTAAATATGGAAACTCAAGTAGATTAAGGCCTAGTTCTTTACAGATTTCTCAGAATTTTAAGGGAGGGGATTTCCGTGACCAGCCACGCCCTGTTTTATGGAGAAATCCTTTGGTCCGAGATTCCCACTATATAGAAAATAAACAGTTTCTCTTTTGTACGTCCAAACAGTGGCTACTAACAGTCTTCTTGTAAAAAAAAAAAAAAATGGCGATGATACGAGGTCATTAAACGTCTTTCTCCCGACGAAAAGTTTAGTAAGAGGACGGACTGACACCAGTCAATGAACACCAATTGCACCTATTGTAACGTTTCGGGCCTTTCCTAGCCTAGTTCGTAGACACTTGTCTTTGTAGGGTCAATGTTTTGATAGAAAGAAAGTGTAGCTACACGCGTAAGAAGTGGTGGGCATCGTTCAATGTAATTTTAGAACAAAAGAGGGCGTGGTCGATCAAATGTCCACCTGGTTTGGGTGTCTTTTTCAATTTTTTTTTTCTTTAGGCCGTAGTCTACTTTACCAACTATAATTCCTCTCGGATGTCTTTAAAAATGGTTTTCTTGGAAAACGTACATAAAAATCACTAATGGCTTAGAACCCAGGCTCTAATCTACTTGAGAAATTGATCATTTTCTGGTTGAGCTTGAGACTGGGTCAGTTTTGTGTCGCATTGCACTGTGGGATCGGACTTGGGTTTGGAAATAAATTTGCACCCATTTTCCTTGAAAACAAAACGCAATAGCCACTGATAAAGCAATACTGCTCCTAACGTAGTGTCAAAGTTTAAGCTCGAAATAAAGTTGAGCTGGTGTCACAGTACAGCAATCTTCAAAAAGGCGAATAGCGAGAGCTTCTTTCTCTGCATTGTAACCTAAATAGGTTGTGATATTTGGCAATTACTGGATTGGGATTTCCTATGGTATAGTCAAATCTGTCTTAAGGGGCGCCCTCTATTTAGCGTAACGGTAATCGAAATCCGCAAATTTGTCCTCTTTATTTGTTACGCGGATGTGGACATGTACACCTAAAACTTTTGATGAAATGGTCATTTCTATTGTTACAAATCAGTATTCCATGCCGAACATCAGAATTGATTAAGATTTCTACCCGCACATTTGTCGACTTTACAGTCAAAACGGACTTGACATAACATTGGCGAATAAGCAAGGAAAAAAAAACAAATGGGAAATACATAGACGTACACCAGGCCTCTAAAATCAGAATATATTATTTCTTTCTCTGGTCAGTTTATCATCCAGTTATATATACAGATAGCCGCTCAAGGTCACTACGAGAGCCTTACCCTGTATAAGAAATATTCTTTACTACGAAAATGAGCAAAATTGAAATATACTTTTTATGCTTACCTTTAGCTAGCATTTTCTCGTGTTGATTTGTGTGCTGACTCGCGTTTCAGGGTTCATAGCCACATTGAAATGCTTTCTTTGAGCGACAGCGATTTGTTTTGGAGTTTGCATAATTCGATCTGCTTACTGATATAACAAAAACTGAAACTGGAATATTCATACGGTATGCCTATTTTCTCTTTCGAAAGACAAAAAAAACAATTAAAAAAAAATAGATGATCGAATGGGGGAAAGTAACCCAAACACGTAATGACTAGTCGAATTTGTATTCGAATAAATCTTTCCTCTCAAATTTCTAACTTAGAAATGCAATAGGAGCAATTAATTTGCTATAAAATACCAAAAATTACTTCGTAGCCACCTCAAGTAATTTCTTTATCACCGTCATACGCACTTTCGGTTTCACTCAATGTTGAACGTGACACTCAATTTGCATTCATATTATTTCGTAAGTTGAGAAAATAGGTTTCTGACGTGATATTTTTTTAATGGAAATTTCCAGCTGTTTGGAGAGTTCGTGATCGCTTCGACGGACTGAAACTTCATTGGTCATCATGATTCTGAAATGCTGTAGTTTTGAGTTCGAATACCCAATCTTAAAGCCAAAAAAGGAATGTTTTGATCACGATCCCTCTTTCTAGGTTCTTTTTGTTGTAGTAGTGCTTATCTTTGATGCCATCGATAATGACGTTTCTCCCTGAGGAAGAACCAGAATGCCTTCTCTAACGACCAAAGTCGCCGGCATACGTGATTAAAAAAGGTTTGGAGAAAGGGCTCATAGCTTCCATTCAGCCCTCAGAGCTTTCATTCAGCCGCCCACATAACTGTAACGCCTACATAGCTGTATCACAACTATTTACCTCCCCCTTCTCCATTTTCATATCATTTTATTCATTCATTTATTTATTTATTTTATTTATTTATTCGTGTTTGCGTATGTGAGTTTGTAACAATTTTTGCCCGCCAGTAGTCCCGCGATATCACATTGGGGAAAATGGTGGATATCTAACGACAGTTTGTTTAACTACTCACGTCAACCTACCTCTAGGCTCATCTCAACTCACAGATACATCTGTGCGCAGAAAAACTAAACTTGTCTTTCGAATGCAAAGTGTTATTTACAAAGCCAATTAAAACTATTCAATCGGAAAGAAAGTTAAGAATCACAACATTAATATCCATCACTTTTGAAATAAGAAAACTCAAAGATTGGCGAGTTTCTTAGATGGGAAATAGAACTGATAAGTTCGTTTTTAAATCAAACCCAGGCGAATGATGAATTGTTCTGATTAATTAAACTTTCTAAACTACAGTTTAAAATCTAAATCTCCTCTTTATAAAACCTTTTATAAATTGGAGTCCTATACTGGGTAAATTGAAAACGTAAACTTTTTAAAAATTTCTAGGGCAAAGTATATGGGTTTAAGGAACCGATATATAACATAAGATTTCACGCTTTTCCCAATCGACTTGAAGCTTTTTATCTGTTTCGTATTTCTCTCACCGGGCTCTTTTGACACAACACTTGATCTAAAAGCAATCATTATTGGCACGACGAGATATAAAATTTAAAGAATATCGTTGCGTTGTCTCACCTTGAAGTAGGATTATTCCGACTTGAACCTTAAACCAAGCAAACATATATTTGCGCATTCTTGCTGGCTTCTCGCACGGTATTTTTCTAATTTGCAGCTCAAATTTTCGAATGAGCTCCCTTTTGTAGGCCGTATTAGTACCACGCACTTTACATTAGGGCCTCTACGATTGCGTTAATAAGGTAAGGGACTAAACAGTTTATGATAAAACGTTTTGCTAATTTGAAGTGAAATACAAATATAAGTGTGAACTAGCTGCAACTCCGGGGGGTACCTCTTGGGAATTCTTGGTGGGGGTGTGTTGCTCCGTTCTTTAAATCCTAAACCTACTTCAGACCAAAAAATGTATTTTTTCACACCCCTTTTCGGACCAGACCTCTTAAATCCATACCGGCTTTCAGACCTGGCCTGTAGGCAGGAATGATGTTATCTTTACTTAAATTAGAGCCAAAAAATATATATATATATATATATTCAAATCCATTTTTAATTAGCATATTTCTCTTTCTTTCTTACTTATTTGGAATTGAAACGACAAATACGTTCACACACTCCCGTAGTTCCTTCGAAAACCATACTCGACTCCACACCTAAATGGGCAAAGTGTATACCCGTTTTCAGACCACAACGGCGCAAAAACCCTACCCGAACGTAACCACAACGATTGTATCCGATATATATAAGGGTTACCCCCCCCGGGCAACTCAATGGCTGATTGAGGTTTGTGAATGGATGAGCTGTTAATTGTACTGTGCACCTGCCGACATTTTAAAATGCGATTTATCTTTTTCACTGAAATATAAACCCGACTGTTAATAATCACACTGAATAAATTCATGAGTTCTGTTCACATTCATCCGTAACTTTCAGAATCAAAATAATAGCCACCTCAAGAGAGTTCGCAACCGCACAATCTCTCTTGATCCATTTCAATTCAACGATATTTCGAAACGGTGTTATACAGCTTCGCTAACATTCACTGGGGGCGGCATTTTAAATCGCCTTAAAAAAGCAATGTTTCTTAAACAACAACAACAAAAAAATAATGTTTTTTTTTGACAGCTACGGGGAATTAAAGAAAGAGGCCGCTTTTCTATATACACCCCGCAAGGACATCAACCATGCGTTTAGTGAGCGTTAAGCGTTTTTTTATCGGAATAAAGCCTCAGAGGGATACATGCTTATGTGGATTTTCGTAGCGGACATGGCACGTCCACGCGAAACTAATTGAAATGGGCTAAACCGACTGTTAAAAGGATGCGGATGATATGTAACTGACCGAGAAAATATACATAAATATTTATAGCGTAAACAAACGTAGGAAATACCCTTCCTTTCTCTTTATCAGCACACCGCCTTGTAAAAGAACACGGGGGAGTAGCTGGCCGGAGCACGCAGCGCTTTTCATCATCCATGAGCAAAGCAATTAATATTGCCTCCTTCCCTCAACAAAACGAGGAATTAATTGATTGAACATACAGGTGCTTTTTATGATCGTTTTTGTTATGGCTTTAGCTCTAGTCCTCCACTTCTGTCGCCAATTTTTCGTTGGAGAGGATTTTTAATCACTGAAGCTGCCCCCGATTTACTCCCCAATTTTGCGTAGCCCTTAAAAAAATGACAATGCTTGAAAAAGGAATAACCAAAATATGCATAAATATTTTAAGTGATCAAAAGTCCAAGAGACGATCTCGTTGAAAAGAAGAAAATATGAGAACACGCGTACGTGACACGCTTAGAATTTCGTTTTCTTTTGATTTTTTTTTTGTTCCTTATTAATGTATTGTCGGTAATTTAAGTTTTACTTCCTTTTAGGCTAAAGCAAACATGATATGGTTCTTTCGAAACTCGTAACTAGATGTACATGTAGCTACTGACCACTTTTAAAATACTTTCACTTCCATTTTGACGTGCTGTGATGTTCTAACTTAAAGGAGGTGTGCGGACAATTGTAATTAGTGAAACCTCAGCAATAGACTAGTTTCGCATGTTACCCTCAGTAGGTCTATAAGTGTAAAGGTCCGTGTGAATTCTCATGGTGTGAGTTTCTTATGAGAAGTATTTTCTGACATGGTATTTTTCAAAATGTAGTTGTAACTTTTGCCTCTGTGTATGAAGTCCTGTGGTGTGACCATTCAAAGAAAACTCTTTCTCACACTTTTGGGCGCTGTTCATTTAGTATCCAGATTTAACTTTTCAGTCCGTGGATAAAACCCGGAAGGGTTAGCATTGACGGAAATGAAAGATTTTCAGTATTGCTTTCGCGTGGTATCAATTCAATTTTAGTTTTGCACTTAGTTCCATTTTTAAAGTCTGTTGATGAATACCTAGTAGGATCTGACTATTTAAATGAAACATCTTCAGCAGTACTTTCACGTGATACTGATTATTTAGTATGTAGTTCTAATTTTTTTTGAGTCTGTCGATGAAATCCTATGATGTTACCATTCAAATGAAACTTCTTTAGCAGTTTGTTCACATGGTACTATTTATTTAGTATGTAGTTCTAACTTTTGAATCTGTCGATGAAATCCTATGGTGTTACCATTCAAATGAAACCTCTTCAGCAGTCCTTTCATCTGCTACTATTTACTTGGCCTATACTTGTTAGTTGTGATTCCACGCTTACAATTTCCATGGCCCGACCATTCTTATGGACCTCAGCAGAAACCGTCCATGGCATTAATATTTATTGTAACATACTTAGTAGTTCTTTGAGTGCTTGAATTAAATAATTCTTGACGGGACCATTCAAAGGAAAGCAACTCTTGAATTATCAGAGCTGTCACGTGCAGGTACTATTTATGCTGAACAAAAAAGAGATTCTAACCTTGCATCAAGTCTTGATAACCCAGTCAAATAATAATAAGCTTGGTGCTACTTTTTATTAGTACTAAATGGCGCTTTTTTTTTTTTAACTGTGGTCTGGGCCTTGTTAGAGTTAACATGTAGCTACAAAAAGAGAACAGAAAGCTAACGACATGTTTCTTACTAATTTGTTCCGAACTTAAGCCCGCTCCGATCGAATCCTCTGCTTCATAGGCCGAGAACTTGAACAAACAAAACAAAAAAATTAACTGAAAAATGGCAAAAGTTAGTCTTTTTGCCTTGTGCTTTCTCTATTTTAATTCTTTGTGTGCGTTTGTGTGTGTTCTTTGAAACTGAAAATGAGAAGTTGAGACGACAACTCTTTCTTAGTTTTAATCTGATTTCGATCTCTCATAAAGAAACTTCTCCGCCTCATACCCCTCTCCGTCTAAATTGTTTTTTTTTTTCTTTTTTCGCTACGACTAGCCGAAACAAAACATAATAATAAATGTTCTCTCACCTTGAATAAGGATCATTCCAATATGAACCATAATCCAAACGATCAAATATTTGCGCATATTTTCCAGGGTTGCTCGATTGACTTCTAGTTAAATTTACCTTCTAAAAACTCGAAGAAACTCTCTTTTATAGACAGGATTATATTGATACCACGCAATTGGCGTAACGACCAGTGTCTCTTACCAGTTCTTGGAACTGTCAGATGTCATCCTCTTTTAAGAACGTGAATAACGTTTAACCTCTAAAACGTCATAAGAAGGTAAGTTGATTATCATGCCGGGGCGTAAAAAACACAGGGAAGAGGTGAACTTGATTTAGGGATAAAAAAAAAATGTTAAAATAAAACAAGTAAAGGAGAAAAAGGTTTTACTGAGTCACTGTCAGCCCGTTCTTAATAGGGAAGGAAGTATTCTAACTCCTACCTTAAACTTCAAGGTCATGACATCTTAAGCTTTTCTGGGTTTTGAGAAAGGTTAAGGACCAACTTCCTTTAAAGTTGCAAAAACGTGAAAATTAAGGCTGCAATGTCAATTTCAATGCTGAGATCACAATACTTTATTTTTTTTTCTAGCTCTTTCTCTTTTATGTAGTAGATGCAGGGGAGTATTTTTTTATTATATGTTTATTTTTATTATTATTAATTATAATTATTTTTTTAGCTGAAGATGTCAAAGAGTTGATATGCATCCATATAGCAGTCCTTGAATTTTGTGATAATTGGATTTTCATCAGAGCTATCCTGAATGTGAAATTTATCTTCGTTATCTTAACTCGTATTATCTCCAACATCAACGGCATTGTTCTTAATCAAACCACAGTATAAACTGATGCTATTGAACACTAAACAGTTTAGATATGCATCAAGCTAAGGAAGTGAGAATGCGTTATTAAGTTTTCTTGTTTTGTCATGATTTATGAGCATAGATAACATAGAGACAGGAAGATATACTTCTTGTAAAATACGCCAGACGATCGGTTTTGCTATATAGCTATGGAGCATTATCTTCCTGTCTATATCGTTTGTCCCTATTGACTATAACCTTCCTGTGTCTTGGGCAATACGTGAAATTACTAACCGTGCACAGAAGTCCTGATTTGCAATTCTTATTGCTACAACAGGTAGTAAATAAGTGCGCCTTGGGTAAATTTTGTTTGTGAACACAAGTGACTTTTTCCTCTTCTCCACTTCACTTCTCCATTCAATGTTGTCATATTGCTAGTGTTGAATACGATCGTAGGAATCCAAGCTTTAATATAACCTGGAAGTAATATATCAGGAACGAGACGCAGTGTTTCATCACCAGATAAAACACCGAGAAGAGAGCTGAAAATACGACGCGTAGCTGAGTATTTTTGACCAACTTCGAGGTGTTTCATTTAGTGATGAAATACTGAGTCGAATGCTTGATATTACTTCTCAAACCAGGAATTAAGAAAGCAAAAACGGGCAGTTTTTCGTCTGATTTCCAAAAACTCATTAAACATTAATTTTTGTACTTCTCAATGAATTATTGATGAGTTTGAGAAGAAGGATATGAAGCTTCCGCTGCCTGAAAAACTCAAACCAGATGATATAAAGCCGATATGAAGTTTAAACTACCAAATTTATGACTATGACAGTGCTTTGCGATGCCATGGAAGCTAGTTTCACAAACGTAGCAGGAAGTAAGTTAAATTTACCAAATTAAATGCCAAGACACGTTTCCAAGTTGCTTCTATTTTTCTAAAGAGACGGGTGTATGAATTCAACAGAAAAGAGTTATTACTTATAATGTAGTCTTAAAAAGCAAAATAATTGTTTAGGTCCAATCTCCAGAGTGAGAAATTTACTTTGGTACAATATTTTCTCAGGTCCTACAAG